ATCTCGAATGTATCTGTAAACCTTTCTAATGCTCTGTGGCAGCCCAGAGAGCGATGGAATTGCCTCAAAGCAGACTCTGCTCCAGAGCAGCCCGTGGCTCTGCGGAGACCTGGAAGCAGGGGCAGGTTAGGTTTGCTCCACAGCTCTGCGGACCCAACTCCTCCAGTCATTAAGACCAGTATAAATTAAGTGATTAATACTAACACCTACGTGCTGGAGAGGGAGCACTGGAAGGGCCGTGCTTCCCTGTGCTGTGCTGCCCTGCTTGCATGCTAAAAGCAGCAGCTAAAGCCGCAGCTTTCTTGTGTTCCAATAAACTATCCAAAGTCACGAGCAAGGCAGCGGCACTGCCTCAGGCCGAGTAGTGATCCCGGGCACCAATCCTGTGCTCCCAGCTCGTGTGGGAAACGGGACCCGCCAAGATCCGCAACAGCTCGGGGCAAACGGGACCTCTGGCACAGCAGCTCTTGCGCCCGAGCTCGGCAGAGGCGGCACCACCGTTTTGAGGCAGCAGTTCTTCAGCTTTCAGCCCTCCTCAGCGGCTAGCATCAAGCCAAGTCGATGCCCGTGGCCCACGTGTGTTGGGGAAGCCGCAGCTCAGGGGCCGCATCCTGCGGACGAGTGCAGCCGGTGCCTCCGCAGACCCCCGAGCACCGCACCTGCACAGCCACCCTCCCCGCACAGCGTGGTCCCTAGCGCACACAGCAGAGCTAATGGTTAAAGAGACCCTAACGAAGAATGTTGTCCATCAATACATACAGGATAAAATTAAGAATTATGTTTTAGGCTAAGCTGTGCTAGCTAAAGCGGTCCGGAACTCAAGATTGCAGCTTGACAAAAAACAGAGTCTTTAGGTAGAATGACAGGGTGTCGGGGGGATCAGAAGAAAGGCTCCCCAGGTAATAACAATAATGAAAAAAAAATGCTTCAGAATTACATTTGAGTTGCATCATTTCTAACTTTACATTTTCTGTTGCTGCCATGGCAGCAGTTGTCAAAAGCATTCCCTGAAGGATGGGACACACTGGATTTAAAATTTCAAGAGCAGCTCTTCATTTATTAGACATTAAAAAATATTGCTTTCTGTGTCAAAGCATCATCTGCGTTGCTATTGATTTCACTTGGGCACACTGAACGAGAATAAGAACTCAGTGTACAAATTCTAAGAAGAGTGGCCTTCCCCACGCTCGACGAAAGGTGTCAGTGCTGTTTCCCTGCGCAGTACAGGGGAAGCAAACCCTTCCTCAGCATGCCCAAGTTTTGTACTGGGCTGTTGTAAAAACACAGAAATTAAAACAAAGATGCTTTAAAGCGTCACATATTGAAGGTCACTGTGTGACAGTGCCAAGCTGGCCTCAGTGGTTTTGCCAAAAACACCAACACGGTCTGAGTTCTGCCACTGATGGCAGCCTGTGCCCGCCGGGCGGTACCCCAGGGTGCTCCTGGCAATAAGCACCCTTAAAAACCCACATTAAAATCTTTGCAGCGTAAGCAAATCAGTAGAAACATCTGTCAACTGAAGGAGGATACTTTCAATGGAAAAATATGGCAAAAAAAATTCTTCGATGAACTCTATGGGTAACTTTTGAAGCATTTTGCTCTCTTTTGCTTTGGCTACACATGACACCAAGTATCTCTACTTTTAATATTTTCACTTAATTTCAAACATTTTCAATTAATTCCAACTGCTGTTGTACAAGAGCGAGTTCTGTCCAGGGCAGCTTCCACTTCCCTCCTCTGTGTTGAACGGTGCCTACACTCCGCACGCCCTGGCCTCGCTCCGTCCCGCGCTCCGGGCTCGGAGCTCTCGGCAGACATCCTGCAGGCCCCATGGCCCGGAGGAGCCGCCCGGGTCCCTGCTCCAGCTCGGGACAGCTCTAGTGAGGGCTCCCATCATGCAGCGCCTTGTGCCACCCGAGTCCAGAGCGCAGCGGGACTGCACGGCTTTGCCAGCTCATCCGGGCCCTCGCTGACATTTAAGGGACACACCTGGAAAGGGGGCAGATTTAGGCTACCACACGAAGCTTCCTCCTCAAGCAGCCCAAAGCAGTGCACGGATAATGATAAAAGCACAAACACGGCTCTATTGGCCATGCAGGTCCCCGCGCCATCTGTCCCAGACCACCCAGACCATTAATCCCCCATCTGTCGGCTCGTGTAAGAAGCCAGGCCTAGATTTCATTAGGGTTTACACAGCTTTCAAGTAAAATGTAGGTCTCAGATTTAGGTTAATACATTTTATTTCTGAGAATTACTTAGATTAATATTTATAAAGACCCCTAACCCACCACACTATCCATCCCTTTCATTTTCATTGTAGGGGGTTAGCAGCTTACATGGGAGTTGTTCTAACTGAGGCCCAGGCAATCTGTCATTTGTCAGGGTTAATTGCACTTCCTTCGAGACAAGTGGTGTAAGGAAAACAGGGCACCGTTATCCCTGAGTCGGCAACGATGCAGACGGGCTAGAAGTTTCCTCACACGACATGAACCCACAGTAACGAATCGCGGGAGCAAAGGATGCATTTGCAGCACTGCCCAGCCCCGGCCCTGGACAGTTGTTCAGCACTAAAGCTCTCAGCTGGACGTTGTCCCACTGCTGGGGTACCCCGCTCCAAGAGCGCCGCCCCATCTCCGGGCACGGCCACTGCTCCTGCCTTCCCTGCTCGCCCTTCAGAAAAGGCAGACGCTGGAGAGCAACACATCTAGCACAGTGGAGATCAAACCTGCAACACTGTTCTCTAAAATAACCTCACTAAAAGTGCACATGTGTAACAGTAGCCCTATTCAGCACAACGTAAACAAGAATGTCCCCCTCAACAGTGTAATGAATAGGCTCCAAATTATTAATATCGCTGTAAATCCCTGCATAGCCCCAGCATTACTTATGCTTCCAAAAAACTTCTAAAAGTGTAGAAACATTAAAAGGTCTGGGGGGAAGCTCTTACATTGTTGATGCTCTCGTACTCCATCCCACAAACTACCCAAATACCTCTTAAAACCAATTAGGTTCCTGGCAGCCGCTGCTCCAGCGGATCCAGAACCCCACGTTACTGTAACTGGAAACCATCTCCTGCCTATCAGCCCTGCTTTGCTGGTAGGTGCTTATAGCTGTTCAGCTCGGATCCTGCCTCAGGCCCAAGTGACTCTGCCCTACGAGACCTCAGTGCTAACGCGGCCCTTCTTGGGTCCCTCCAGGAAGGGGCTGCCATGCCAGGAACCTGCACCTCGAGGGAGAAGTGGCAGAGGAAGGTGCGGCCGAGATATCTGTAGTCACAAGAGACACTGTGCAACTTGGTGCTAAAAAATAACCAAAATGAATTATCAAGAGCACTGCTGGAAGGAACATCTTGTCTCCTGCTCAGCTGTTGCCATGGTCACAGCTCAGTGCTGATCTAAATCACACAGAAGCAGCAAGCGGCTCCTTCCCCGGCCTCGGTCGCTGCCCATGCCCCCGCCGCTCGCCCCGCGCTCCCCGCGGCCGCCGCGCTGCGCACCCACAAGCCTGAGTCTCCTGGCCTCATGTCAAGGGCATCTACCCTGCTGCCAATGGGGCTGTTCTCCAAGGAAGGGTGCAGAGGTGCCTTGCTGGCAAAGAATAACAGGAGGAAGAAGCCGGAGCGGTGGCTCCGCGGCAGGGACGCGCTCCTGCCTCCCCATTCCCCAGGCACAGCAAGCCCGGGGCTGCTGCGGCGCCTCAGGGACACTGAGGCAGGGACCCTGGGGCAGGCTCCATGCAGGGTGTTTGCAGCCCGTGCTCCTGCCACTCTCCCTGGGAAGCTCTGCTCCCGTTTCCAGCCGTTCCCCCAGCCTGGATTCAGGCACTCTGCACCTGTGGCAGAGCTGAGGAAGTTGCAAAAGGTAAGGCAGTGGCAGGAAGGTGCAGGCACGCGGTTCAAACCCATTATCTACCTTCATCAAAACAGGGGAGAGACCTCTCTAACACTGCTGCCAGTTCTGAGACTGGACATGAACGTGGCAGCCCTGCAGATTGACCTTTCTTTTGTCACCAGGCTTAACATCACTAAAACCTACAAGGAAGCAACTGCTGCCCGGCAGCAACATGCCTGCCCGGATGGGCCGTCCTTTCTGTGTCCTGTCTCAAGAGATGGAAAAACACAGGCTCCTCCCACAGCTGTGTTTACTGCTCTCCTCCTCACGCCTGTGTGTACTGCACTCCTGCTCTGCGCAGGTCTGCAGGTTTTCTGGAATCATCCGCATTGCACTGAACCATGGCCCCAAGCAGGGGGAGGACCTGACGGCCCTCCCAGCCTGACAGGGCAGCGGGCACGGGGCTGGCGCCCAGCACGAGCCCAGCACAGCCTCCTGCAGCCACCACGGAGCTCAGGCAGGTGCTGCTCTTGTCAGGAGCTCTGGGCAATCAAGCAGAGCTGTGCATGTGAAACGGGGCACAGCTGTGCTGGAGAAGAACTTGCTGAAGCTTACTGAAACCCTTGGGCAGAACCAGAACCAGTGTTTCTAAATGGTGCCCCCGGTCCCCACAGCTGCCATCCTGCACATCCCTGCCCTCGGGCAGCCCTGCAGCCTGGGCAGCCCACGGGGCGCTCCGCTGGGCACCTGCTTCTCCTCCTCCCCTCGTAGGAGGAACTGTTTGTCAGCTCGCTGGCGTTTCATTCATTTGGACACTGCAGCCCAAGAGTCTGTTTGCCAGTGAAGATGCTGATATGGGACAGAAATATTCTTGTTAAAACTACACACAAGCTACTCAAGAACTGGGAAGAGAGAAGGACAATTTCTGTTGACTGGTCTTATACTAGCTCTCCTTGATTAAACTTTTAGAGGAGTTTAAAAACGAAGATTCTGAGCTGCTTCATTTCTCCCTGGGCATTTCTGATTGGCCACGTGGAGGCCACCCACCAATCCTCGGCTCCCGGACACGTCTTACCTGACAGTCGAAGTCCTGGAAGTTACGAGCAGCGTTCTGTTAAAAAAACAAAACCAGGAAAGTGTTCAGCATGGTGCCCCAAAACTGCGAGCAAGAGCAACACGAAGCTCCCCTCAGACACCCCAACTCCACGCGGTCCAGCCCAAGCGCTGCCAAGCCAGCAGCCTCCCTGGGGGAACAAAACAGCCCACGCAAGCTCCAGCCACTACCATGCAGGGAGCTGCGCCAGGGCGGCTGGCCCAAGCCCTGCGATCCCAGAGGACTTCCCTGGACACAGCTGGGGGGCGAGGACATTGCAGCGGGGGCAGATCCAACACAGGAAGGAGCCAGACCCACGGCAGCCTGGTTACCAGGCTCGGTTTTGTCTTGTCCCAGGGCCATTCCAAATCTGAATGCAGAATTCTCTACAGGACTGCCCCCAGGACCTAAGGTAACGAGCAGAACACGAGCAGCTCTGCAGGCACCACGCCTGGCGCTGTTCCATGGAAATGCAGCGAACTGCAGGACCCGGGAATGTGAGGGCACGGAAAGCAGGATAAGCAGCTCAGCAGGGACGCTGCCTCTGCCGGGCGAGCAGGCAGAGGGCTGCTGAGCGCTCCCAGGTTGCACGCAGGGCCAGCAAACATGCAGTCAGCATTCTAGCTTGCACCTCTTGGGCACAGCCTACATCTTGATGCTAAAATTACAACTGGGACCATAGATGAGCAAGACAAGTACTCCGAACCCTTCTTCTGGGCGAGCACGCCAAGCCCTCCATGTGTGTAAGCAACGAGCCCTGCCCTCCTTCACGCAGGCTTTGCCACGTTGGCAGGAACACAGCTGAGCTATGTCCTTCACAGTTTGAGATGTTCGAGCTGAGAGCTGCAAATCTGGTCTAAGAATCAGCATGTCAGTGTTTTGAACATGAAGTGGCACAAAGAACCTATCTTAGAGGTGAGGAGGTAGGAGGAAAGGAAAAAAGCAACTGTCTTGATTTCAGTTTAAGATCCTGAAGTGGGCTGAGATTTCTGAAAACTGATCGAGGCCTTTTTGCTTTCTCTGTTAAATGCAGAGGGTGAAGTCTCCTCATCCACCAAGACATAAAGAAGATAAATTCAGTCATCCACTGTCAAGGTGAATAAGAAGGATAAACAAGTCTCTGAGGAAATAACTTCTCAGCACAGGGCGTTAATGATGCCCTGCAAGTAAAGGCTGATCTGAATTTATACGGAGAGAAGCAGGATTCTCTGGGAGACGGGGGAAATGATCAAATCATTGGAAATCTGCATTTGAAATCTGAAAGTCTACAATTTTATGGTTCCTTATCACAGCAGACACAAGCAGCTTTAGTGCTGGCATGTCCTGACTGTTGGATACTTGATTTTAACACACCAAAACCTGATGTTAAAGCATTAACCTACTTAGTTTCCGAAATTTCTGATGTTTAAGATGAAGACAGGTTTTCCTGTCTGATGAAGATTGATAGTTGCATTACAAAGGCAAACAGCTAGAGGGAATTATCCAGCCCAGCCTAAGGGCTGTCCAGTCAATGTCCTGAATTAAGCTATGGCATTTCTATCACTTTTTGCTGGGGCTATTTTAAAAGGGGTCAGAAGTGCCAGAATAAGGATTAATCAGAAGTGATGTCAGTCCTGAATAAAAACTAACATACTGGAGTAATTTTTGATTTTCTTTTGCAAAGTATCTTTGCTGAAGAACTGTTGCTACACCTATAAGTGAAGACGAAGGGACCAATGTCTTGGATTTAGGACAAAGCAAAACCAGGGCTCAGCACAGTCCCTAGCTGCACTCCCTACAGCTCAAGCAAGAAATGAGCAGCTGTGACCTATTCCAGCCACCCAGTCAATTCTACTGGTTTTTGAGTTTGAGTGTTCAGACACCAGAGTTCCTTTTCTCTGTGCGGCAGCCTGTTTATCTTCAGAGTTCACAACACCCATCCCTTAGCACCTTAAGAGTTTTACTGTACTATTTCTGGCCATTAATCCATGCTGGCTCGTGAAGCCCCAGCTTTAAGAGTGGGTTGCTCTGTGGAAATCGTACTGACCTGCCAGCTCAATACCTTTTGGACTCTGGTGCACACAAGAGCACCTTATAGCATCACACCTATATGAGCCATTATACATGTTGTAAGGCCTAATGAGGGCTAGACCTTGGGGGCAATACTTCCTTGAGGCATTTTAGAAGAAAATGTAAAAAAGAGAGCCAGAGCAAGCACGCTTCTCAGCTCTGCGCGGAGCCGGGCATGGTGCTGAGCTCCTCTGTGTGCTTCTTCCTGAAGAACTAAGAACACACTAAAACATAACAGAACTTCAGACATTTCGCCCATCTGGGGACTTAGTACAGAGCCTTCTGTGGGCACACAGTGAACAGCTAAAATAAGGTTTTCATTCAGAAATTATCACATCTTTCAATTAGCAGAACAAGCCAGGTTTTGATGTCAGCCATTAAACAGCAAAGCGTTGGGAACCTCAGCACTTTCCATCAGACCCTCTGATTTTGTGGGTAGATATGGAAAATGACAAAAAACCCCCAAGCTCGTACATAATTGCAATTTGCAGGTGCAAGACTCTAGATCTTGCTGGGAAAGCCAAGGATATGCATAATTTAGGCAGTCAAAGCACCAGTTCATAGCAGAATCAAATGGGGCCAGGACTTTCCTAGAGCTCAGGGGGTTCTCCCCCAGAAGACAGAATGAAAGGACTAAACAGGAGTTGCAGCACAACAGATTTTGCAAAGTTTGTGTTGCACGAGTCTGCACTACTCCAGGTAGATTTTACCAGTTTTCCGTTACTAAACCCAGAGAGATCAGCCTGTTCTTGGGGTCAAAAAGCAAGCAGATAATTTGAAAGATGAAAGATTTTAAAAAGTCAAAAAAGCAGATATGATACCAGCAATGGTTTCTCTAACAAGCATGAACTTATCAGAGGTCCTACAGCTCAAACATGCCAGGAAGGGTTTCATCATTCCACCTCCTCCCTGTCTTTGGAAGCCCGCTTGGCACTCCAAACTTATCTGCGCTGCTCCTTGGGAGTGTCTCTGTCCCTGCCGCTTTGGAGGAGCATCTGGGGCTGAATTGTCAGAATGGGGAAGCAATTGCTGGTTTTGAGAACCTAAGGTGCTCCAAGCTGTAAAGAGATTCTGGTAATCAGAGCTCCTTGCTGGATACAAAGTGAGGCAGAGTTCGGCAGAGGGCGAGGGAGCAGCGAGCACTACCTTGTCATTGAGAAGGGGTTTGATCTCCGTCAGCTGAACATCCTGCAGTTCATCCATGGTGGTGTAACTGGAGACAATTAACCTTCAGGGAAGCAAACCAGCAATTCTGAAACAAATGAGTAAGATTAGAAATGGTATTAGAAAAGATAGTAGGCAAAGAAAACTCTAATGTGTAGACTCGAGCTGAAACGCATGAGTCTCAAAGATGATATTTCTCTGTGCAATATGAAATATCTGCAACAGGAGCAGGCAAACAGCCAAGTCTACTCTCCGTGTATCACTGTGTCATTCCCTGTGCTGCGCATTGCCTTGCCTGCTGAAAACTGTCCCCAAATCACAGGACTTCTACTCACCAAGTCTGGACCCACTTCCACCCATTGCCGGTACCTCAGCCATGACCCTGCAGGACGAGCTGGACGTGGCAGCCCCAGCAGAGGCCAAATTGTGCTGGGCAGCAGCAGGGGGCTTGGGGAGGGGTCTCTACGAGAGGGGGCTCAGTCTGCCCTGCCTTAACCTCCTGTGCTGCTTCTGTGCCTCAGCTGCCCTCGGAGCAGCTTTCCAGGGGTCACTTCTTGGCAGGGGTGTGCTCAAACCCGACTGTGCAAATCCTTTGGCTAGATAGGAAAATTACAGATATTTCTGTAGGTGAAATAAAAAACATCGTGGACCTAAGGAGGAATGAGGATAGGCATGTATTGGGCTGCCTCAATGTTAGCTGAGTGCAAATGAAAAAGACTCTCACGTGCTACCACAAATTAATGCAAAATTACAAAATATCACAAAATACAAAATAATACACTGATGTCAGCCCTGGAAGAAAAAAAATGGAAAAGGAGTACTGCATCTGTGCACCTTAAGTCAACATAAATGTATACTGTCCTGGGAAAGAGAGGTTCCCTTCTCACCCTAGCCTAACATGACCTCCCTTCCTCTGCACGTCAGGACTGACATCAATGCAGCCAAAGCCAAACTCGTAGGAAAAGAAAGTCCTTCCTCTCTGAAACCAGCCATAGCAACTCCCCTCTCTTTCAGTTCCCTCTTGTTGGAAACCTCCAGAGTATTTTTTTTTTTTCAGAACAGTTGCTATAAAACAAATCTGTTGGGAGGGTTTGGGAAGCCAATTCACAGGTAACATTCTTCTGCATAACAGTTGCTTTGAAGAGCAGGAGGAGCCATTCTGCATTAGAAGGCACTGCAAGCCACGGGGGAGAGCTGGAGTTCATGTAAGGAGTTACGGGCACCAGAGGGACTAACTTCCGTGCACACTGCAAGAGCTCGTCATGCACCTGGTTCTCTCCAGACCCCTGGGCAAGGATCCCAGGAGGTTCTGGACACCACAGTGGCTTCAAACACATGGCAGCAGAAGTTCACTGCAGGCAGGTGACGGACAGGACCGGACCGAGCCCTCCTGACCCGCTGCCCTCTCGGCCATGGCAGCCAGCGGTGCCCTCCCTCCTCCTCCTCTACCTAAAGGAACAAACGTGACATTTCACAAGCTGAAAGCTAGTCTAAAATACCACAACAAAGCAGCATAAATGCGCATTAAAAAAACAGCTCTGCAGAAGGCAGGCTGTAGACAAAGCAAAAGGTTTGCCTGGAATAACCCATATATAAAACATACATTTTTCTATATATGTCCCAGTATGACACACGCTGAGAGGACTCCTCTTGCCGCCATTTGCATATGGCTATAAATAAAGTCTAATACCACGATATAAACCATGCATCCCCTTCCCAGAGGCTGGAATCAATCCACACTGCTTAAAAAACAGTAGGATAAGAATCAAGACAAGCATTCAGCGAATAATTACCAAAGAGATTAGCACTGGCACAGGGCACAGGAGCCTGCAGAAAACCAAGGCAGTGAGCCCCAAACAGAAACCACCTCCATACAAAGTAGGATCTGGACTAGGTGCTTGCATACTCCCTCCCAGATAAGAACGCTCCAAATTCACACCACTTCAATAGAATAACGTGGGGGTAAGCTCCCTACGTGAACGCTGTTCCCCAGGGGCCGTGCGCGAGGCTCGCCCGCTCCTCACCTCCTTGCGTCATCTGCTCTGTTATGGAGACGCAATCTGGCCATGCAGGACAGGACAACCCGCCGCCAGGGAGCCTCCATGCAGCAAAGCTTCATGTGCAGAGGCAGAAACCGCCCGTTCACCCATCGTAACTAGATTGCACCTTCTATCTCATTAACACTGTAACTGCTCTACTGCCATCCATGCTACCTTAGACCTGCCATGCAGCAGGAAAAGCTACCCCAGACAGATACCAAACTGCTACAAAATGTGAGCTCAGCACAGCGAGACAGCTGCTCCCTTCAGGCAGCCGCCCAGCAGGCGGCCTGAAAACGGGTCCTCTCTAGAGAGCAACTGGGCCTACAGCCAGGGCAAGGTGAGCGAGGCCCCAGGGCTGCTGGCGGACACGACTCTGACACTCAGGGACTCAGATGCCTGGTTCGTACGCGATGGAGAGAAGGAACTTGCACTCCAGCAAGAATCACAGCTGACTCCTGCTCTGCAGGTTTGCAACACGGGTGTTTATTGGGCTGTGGGTTTCCCGCAGCTTTTAATCACCTTCTGCAGGAAGAGGACTCCTGGTCCGTGCCTCCTTTGCCCCCCTCAGAGCAGCACGTCCCGCATGGGACGGGACGTGTGGGCTCCTCGCTTTGAGCAGGCAGATTGCAATTGGGCCATGTTCATCCTCCTAAGTAAAACAAGTTTCATTTATGGCCTTTGAGACCTTGGGCACTCCTGCCCTCCTCCTCCTCAGACCTTTCTAAGGCTCTTGATAGCAATTCGCTTCTCGATCACCCATCTAGCCTACTCTGCCAAAAAGCTGAGATACCCCAGAACACCAGCGGACATTGTCAACTTCCAGCAAAGCAGGCAGAGGCTCTGAACGCACTTCTGAATCACTTCCCAGCTCAGCTCGCTCGCTTCCCGGCTCAGCTCCTCTGGGGAACACTCCACAGGCCGGGCCAGCTCCCGGGGCAGCCGCAGCCTTCTCGCCTGCCCTGCCCTCCAGCAGCTCCCGTGCCGGCTCCCATGCAACACGGACGGTGGTCCTGGAAGTTCGCTTGTTTTACCCTCCTGAATCCAGGCTATCACCAGGCCAGATATGCCAGCTGCTCATGCACCTTCTGAGGAATTTTAATAAAACCTACATTTAATGATAGTTCTTTCTTCATGCACAGCTCTGTTCATTTTGGACAAAGTGAGTGTCCAGTACTGAGAAGTATCACCCAGCCCTGTGCGCACCCACGAGTGCCACTGGCAGGACCATGCTCAGGCATCGCTTGACGTAGCGGGCACCACCCGGCTCACTGAGCAAGGGTGCAAGAGGAAGGGGAAGCTTTCAGACCACTGGGGGCTGCTTGCACTGGTGCCAGTGAAAACACCAAGCGATGCTGAAATGCCCGATATGGGGCAATCCCAAATCACTTCTTAATAGGGCTGCACACTCCAGAAGAAAGAGTGAGAGAAGTGATTTTGGGGCATGAACTGCCATAATGCCAAACGCAGTCGCAGACACGATGCAGCCCGTCTTTGAAGCTTTTCTGGGTAGGGTGTTTCTTTCCAACAGTTCTGCAGCACTTCCCTTAGCAAGCTGGGGTCCCCCTGGGGAAGAAAACCTGCCCTGGTGATCATGACCCACAAACACGAGAGCACAGAGCTTGGCTTGCAGCCATGAGATCTTCTGCAACGGTCACAGCGCTGCAGCAAACTGCTGGTGTCACTCCTACCATGTCTCCATGCCCCTCTCTTGCTCAGGGCCTGCAGTGACTGCACCATCGGGTGGCTGCAGCTCACGGAGCTCAAAATAAACCAGGGGAACAGTTCTCTAGTTTTATAGTGAGGGAAAACTTCATGAAAGAGGAACTCAGGAAGGACGAAGGGGATCTGCTCAGAATGGCTTTTCCTACCCTCCAGGACCCCCAAGCTGCGACCCCTGCTCAGGCACAGAGAGGGCCCCCGAAGGCTCCGCCCTCCTGCAGTATTCCTAGTCCCCACCACGGAGCGGCAGCATCCAGCCCCACTCTGCCCGCACCACCTCTGCTGCCTGCGACACTTCCGAGCTCTCCCTGCTGGGGCTGCACATGCAGCAGCACTCCAGCTCCCGCGTGCTGCGAGGCAAGCGGGAGAGCCTCTGTCCGGAGCGCCCCTATCTATCCTGGAGCGCCCCTATCTATCCCAGAGCGCCTCCATCCCAGAGTGCCTCCATTCAAAGCACCTCCATTTATCCTGGAGTGCCTCTATCCATCCCAGAGCACCTCCATCTATCCCAGAGCACCTCTATCCAGAGTGCCTCTATCCTGGAGCAGCTCCCGCTTGAAGGGCTTAGGACCACAGCCGGCTGCTTCCACTAGACCCTGTAGCTCCTTCTGCACAATTATTTGCAATCTTGTTTCTGCTTCATTTCAGCCATGCTTCTTGCTAACTAATCGCATTTTTTTTTAACATTTCACATAAAAAAATAAAATGAACATGTGTTCCTTTGAGCACAGAAAAGAATCTAGAGCAAGATGGACCAAGAACCTGTTTAAAACAAGATGTTAGCAAAGATTTCTATCACCAACAAAAGTTTCATTTTCACTTGCTGCCAAACATTGAATTATGTTGATAAATATAGCCTTTACACCCAGCTAAGCCGCCTTGCTGTGTCATCATTTAAGTTACGATATAGCTGAACAACCATTTAGTCAGACTTCAGTTTTTGTATTTTCTAATGTAATTGTGATCTTTTTTAAAGGTAAGTGGTGTTACATGCTATTAGGATGGGGGGAAAAAAAAAAACAGATTAACAGCATAAGAGGAGATTTTGAAGATGTTATAATCATCATCTAAAACAAATGATGATTTCACATCCATTCATCTATGTACATTTTAGAAGCTAAAGCTTCTTTAATAAGGTCCGCCGGGCCGCGGGGGCTGAGGCGCTGAGTGCTGGCGCCCTCTCCCACCAAACCTCCCACCAGACGTGCGACTGGAGATCTGGGGTTTTTGGCAGCAAACACACATTGCTTAATATTAAATGACGATCTGTACTGGAGATAAGACTACAGACGTACTTAGATGGCAGATTTAAGCCTCTGGATGCAG